CGGGGAGTTGAGGGGGCAGAGGGTGAGCCTTGGAGGCCATCTTATCTAAATGTTTGTGGGATTCAGTTTGGTTTGGTGGGCTCCTCGGACTGAAGAAGTCCTTCGGATGAAGAATGAAACATCTCAGCAACAAAATAAACCATCCAGATGACCTGACTGAATATCCTTTTGCTATATTTGACTTATACGACCTATACAGTATTTACTGTTTTGCTAGTTTTAACTTTTAACTATCCTTTTACTACTTCTAGCTATTAGATTATCTTTTGATACTTTAAATTAGCTTGTAGGTTTTGGCAACAAAACAAACAAATATATATATATATATATATATATATATATATATATATATATATATATACACATATATATGTGTGTGTGTGTGTGCTCCTTTTAGATTTTAGCTTTAACAACTCAACTTTAACTTCTTCTTTAGTAAACTTTAGCAGTGTGTTAGCATTAAACAGCACTTTATCAGAAAATACAGTTTCTCTAGTTAAACATGTCTTTACAGTAGAGGACCAGGAGAGTTCAGAGGGCTGATTTCTGAGGTGTTCGTTTTAAATAAAGTGTCAGTTTAAAAGTAGGACAAAGCAGCATTAGCAGGGACACCTCACCTGGCTCGACCTCCAAAGACCGACTGTCAATCTCGATGTCGAGGCGTGCAGCTGCTGCATTGCAGAAATCCTCCAGGACACAGTGCACAGCTTCTGTGACATTATAAGGAACGGGTTTGTCCAGTTTCATCCTGCTGTTCACCACAACACTCCCATTCCTGAAGTTAAGAATCTCCAGCTGCTTGAATCCAGTCAGATTTGACTGTAAATATGGCAAGAGCTGCATGGAAAGAGAGGAAAAGCAGAATGTCACTTTCCTAAACCTTAGGGTACTTAGAAATCTGTTTACAGCAGGAGAGTGGAGTTTAGTATTTATTAGTGTTCGATGATCCATGAGTTGATGAAAAAAACTAGATTTGTGTCAGTGTTAGGTGTCAGGATGTGAGTCGACCTGGGTGGGAATAAACAAACAAAAACTATCATCCCAACATTTTTAGCTTCATTAATGACAGAGCAGATGTCATTTCACTGCTGATTTGTATTATTTAGATCACATAAACAAGTGACGCTATGAACAGTTTATAATTAAATTTGGGAGCAAGCGTGACATCTTGCCACTTCTATGGGAGCCATGTAATAAAATGCAAAATAAAATCTTAATTCCAAAATAAAACCTACTACAAAATTTTGGTAAAAGCTCGACTGTGTATGCTTTATGTAAGATAGATACGCCTATGTTTATTTTTAATCATCTAGTTCCCAATTAAACAAATAAAAGCTCAGATGAACAACATACTAAGGTTTTTAACTCTGTATTATTCTTTAACAATTAAAGGCAATTTATTACAGCTTCAAGTATATGGGGTGCCTTTTGTAAAGAGACAGTCAAAAATTAATAGAAATATTTTGATTCATTTAGCCTTTCATAAGAAAAAAATAGGGTTGTTTTTCAAAATCATATTTTCACCACGCTATTCATACATTTGTAAATATCAAAGTTCCAAACTAAATATTTAATTTACAAGCTAAATATTTAGTTTACAAGTTAAATACTTAACTTGGAAGATGAATATTTAGTTAGCAAGCTAAATATTTAGCTCCACTAAATAGTGGAGCTAAATATTTAGTTTAAAAACTAAATGTTTATGTCCAAGCTAAATGTTTAATTTACAAACTAACCATTTAATTTCTAAGCTAAACATTTACTTACTAAACTAAATATTTAATTAGCTAACTAAATATATAGGACAAACCTAAATATTTATTTTCTAAACTAAACATTTAATTTCCAACATAAATCTTTAATTTGCTAACTAAATGTTTAGTTTGGACCTAAATATATATCTTGCTAGCTAAATATTTAGCTTGCCAGCTAAATATGTAACTTGCACGTTAGATATTTAGCTCAAATCTAAATACTTAGCTAATATGCAAACTCCTTGCCGAAAACCGGAAGTGGACTATCTAAATAAAAGCTGAACCTTTAAATATACACCTCTTGCCAAACTGCCAAAAAACACCAGTAGAAGAAAAAAAAGAAAAGTTGCAACTGGCCAAACTGAATCACTTCAGTTTTCTCGTTATGTGCCACTTTTTATCTAAAATACTAAAATTTCTAAAAATCTTCTTCTACTTCTGGTGTTTATTGACGATTTGGCAAGAGGTGTATATAGAGAGGTTTGGCTTTTATTTTGATAGTCTGTTTCTGCTTTTTGGCAAGGAATTTGCATATTAGCTAACTATTTAAGTTTGAGCTAAATATTTAACTTGGAAGTTAAATATTTAGGTCCGAACTAAATATTTAGTTAGTAAATTAAATATTTAGTTTAAGAATTAAATGTTTAGCTTAGAAAATAAAAAAATTAGTTTGGAATAGTTTTGAAAATAATTATTTAGTTTGATTACTAAATAGTTAATTTACACATAAATATCTAGTTTACTAATTAAATATTTAACTTGCAATTTAAATTTTTATTTTGTAAATTAAACATTTATCTTGGACATAAACATTTAGTTGGTAAACTAAATATTTAGTGTGGAGCTAAATATTTAGCTTGCTAACTAAATATTTATCTTGCAAGTTAATATTTAGTTTGTAAACTAAATGTTTAGCTTGTAAATTAAATATTTAGTTTGGAACTATCACATTTACAAATGTATGAATAATTTGGTGAAAATGTGACTTTGAAATAAAACTTTTTTCTCTTATTAAAGACTAAATAAACCAAAATATTGCTGTTAATTTTTGACTGTGTAACTTTACAAACGACACCCCATCCAAGGATGTGTTGATGATGACTCGCCAAATTTCAGCTCAATATCTGTAAAACTGACTGAGTTGGAGTCATTTTTATGTTTTTAAGGTCATCCATCTGGAATTGGGTTGACCCCTCATCAGTTGAAGATGTAGACCCAATGATTACTTTCTGAGTTCAAGTCATCGTCCAGTGGTGCATGAGATATTCACACACACACATGCAGAGACACCAGCAAAACATTATCGCCTCTTGCCTTTAGCAGCAATCAGGCAATAAAAACCAGGCAAAGTGCAGAGGCAGCAGGTGGAAAACGGCGCTCGGACCATCACTCAGTTGCTAGGAGTCATTTTAAGCAGCAGTAGATTAAAGAAACGATCAGAGCAAGCTACAAAATCAATTTCCCACATTTATTTTTCCACATATCGCCCGCCACCGAAGGCAAAACGGGAGATAACGTGTTTGCCTCTGCGTGTGTGTTATTGACACGCATACACTTACAATAGTTTTTATGTACTGCTTCAATAGGACTCAGTTTTCATCTTATAAAACATGGTCTGGGCCAGATTATTTTTTAATTACATCCTTAAATGTGAAACCCTGAAGTTAAAAGAGGATGTAATTACTTTTTATCCCATCCGTGCAAGTCATGCATGAAATTTGGCAACTCCTAAGAAGCCTAAGTCTTACGTTGGGCTGCAGGGAAACCAATATACACTTTGCTCCATCTAATATAGTTATTATTCATTACCTGTAACTTAAATGCTTCTGGTGGGGTAAACCGGATTTGATGTTGACGTGACGTTACTTTATAAATGCATTAAATAACAACCCAAAGCATTCACGAGTTAACCATTCAGAGCTAACGGCACGAGAGGCGAACGTCAAAGCAGAAGGCGGTGAGAGGGCGAGATTACGATACCTTAGCAGGTCTGACTGTAGTGAGGGAGATAAGAGGCCTTAAGGAGCTCTGCTCTGATCGGGTTATCTCACCTATCTCTGACAGTCCCATCAGAGAGGGACTGTTCCACATAACTGGTAGCATCTCATAGAAAAGCTACTTACATTGTTCAATTTCTAGAACAACCTGCAGCATAACTGCACGCACTGTTTCACGTGAGCACCTCCAAGCAGTCAAACGACAAATCGCATCCAATTCGGCTCGGTGAAACAAAAGACGCCGTATTTCTCTGTTGTCCACAAGACACCACCATATTCCACAGACAGCAAGGCACAAACACAGCCAGAGCTTCACACACAAAGTTACACATGTATCTACTGGTTCTTCTTGTTTCAACGATAAAAACAAGTCAAATATCCCCTTGTTGAAGTCACTGAAAAAAAATCACAAGAAGCATTTTGTTGCCATAAAACCGTTTTTCTGATTTACTGTAGCAAATAAACTCATTCCAAACTCCATGTCCAGTTTTATTGGTTGCTTCACAAACCAGTAGGTACAGGAGTAAGTGAGGCAAAACACGGGAGCACTGCACGTCATAATGGGTGAATAATACACATAGTTATACATATTTATATATACACTTTCACAAATGGGCTCCAACAGCCAGCAAATCATTTCACTATGTCCGTTTAAATGGGCTGCCTAATGTGCAAAAGTTATTGAACATTTTCTCGAGACTGTCTGTGCTGTTTCCATTGATTTATAAACTATAGACTGGATGAGTTCAGCAGAAATAACTGGGCCCATTTAAAGGAAGATATGTGATAGCACTAAATGGTTTAAAAAGGACTACTATAGATGCTAAATACTTACCAGTTCAACCCTCTGATCACTTTAGTTTTGCCGGGGAGCTAAACGGATCAGTTAACAAGCACAAGCCATGGTTTGGGCAACCACAAAAAATTGGAGATGGAGTATTTTTTAGCAACGAGTTTTTTTTTTTTTGTGTGTGTTTTTATGCTTCTCTGTATGTATTCCTTTATGCAGTACCTGATGCTATGCAGACATTGTTTTTTTAAGCTGTACAAATTCAGAATATGTTCAGTTCATAACGTGAGATGCACATTATGACATGAAAGTGAGGATTTAATAAAAAAAATACCAAAACAATGCACGTCTTCCATTCATTTTCAACCCAGAACACTAACAAAACCAGGTTAACCTTCAGCATCTCTTCCTCTTGGCCTTGCAGCACCCACATAATCCAGTTTGCATCAATTCATGTGCTCATTTCCAGGACGAGGACTTTACGTAACGCCGAACGCAAAACACTTGTGAGCAAAGCTGAACATAAAAACCCACCATCGACCTGGTTGCAAACTTTGACAGAAAAACAAAAGGATGTCAAGTGACGCTTCTCTCCTTGATGCACGCTCTTTAAAGTTTAGATTTTCCTCACCGCAATGAGGGCTGGAGAAACAAAAAAACTGTGTTTGCTCCTTTAAGAGCAAACAAATGAACTTTTTAGAAGGTATTTGAGGAACAAAGCACGTTCCAAAACCACAAAGATGTTGATCATTTTTATTCCATCCATCCATCCATCCATCCATTATCTTTACCCGTTTATTCCATTTTGGGTCACGGGGGTCACTGGTGCCCATGTCCAGCAATCACTGTGCGAGGGGCGGGGTACACCCTGGACAGGTCGCAAGTCCATCACAGGGCCACATAGAAACAAACGAGACAAACAACCATTCACTCTCTCACTCACACCTAGGGACAATTTAGAGTTACCAATCAGCCTAACATGCATGTTTTTGGACTGTGGGAGGAAACCGGAGTACCCGGAGAAAACCCACGGATGCACGGAGAGAACATGCAAACTCCACCCAGAAAGGCCCCTGGACCGGGGTTTGAACCAAGGACCTGCTCACTGAGAGGCAGCAGCTCTACCAGTTGCGCCACCGTGCTGCCCCATTTTTATTCCGTTTCCCTTTATACATTCAGGCGTAGAAAACATTAGTAAAGCAGTGAGAACTGCAACATGCGTGCAGATTTGCACATAAACTTGTCTGACTTCACAGTAAGAAGATTGAAACCATTATTAGCCTGATGTGTGCGGAG